GGCGCTCACCCGTTGCGCCTACAGCGGCAAACGCCGTCGGCCCTTCTTCCCTCGATGAACCCGAACGGCACCAGTCATCTGGATCGCGGCTCCGTGTGCTGCTGCCTGCTCCTACCGCCGTCCTTGCGTGACGGATTATATGGCACTTGGTGATGTTCGTGCCGGATGCTCCCGTGTGGACCCAAGCCGGGCCACCTTGCTCTGAAGCCGCGGATCGCTGGTTCCTGATGGGCAGATGAGGGCACGGCATGTGCTTCGCGTGAGAAAACGTCTTTAGGAGATCTACTGCCCGACTGAGATCTGCCTCCCGCCCTGCTGGAAGCGAGGCCTTTTTGGTCTACTGGGGGTTATCGTGACTCAGGAATATTTTTAAGGTCCCAGGCAGTAAACGCTTTTCTTAAAATCCAAGTCTGTGACGTGTTTTTCCATGGCTTCAGGACTCATTGTAGTTGTGAGTCTTGGTATTGCGAGCACGTCGCGTACACCTCGGTATTTCCTCCTTTTCCCTGGTTTCCTTGCTGGGGTTCGGCTAAATCTTTCCTCCTCCCGTACCAGCTTCAAGATCCAGCCCGTCCCTTGTCTTGCTGAAAGCTGGCCCTGGCAGTCCTTTGCGGGATGCTTTGCCGCGGCTGTTCTCCGCGCCCCTGCCACACGTGGGGCTCCTCCGTGTCCCTGGATGGTTCCTGCCTTGTTGCTCAGCCTCTGGCCCCTTGGACCTCCTTCCCTGGCCCCAGAGCTGCTGCTCCCGCGGGGCCTGCGCTCCTCTTGCCGGCTTGAGGTTAAGCTGGGGAAGCGAACGGAGGTGGTGTCCTTGCATCTTATCTCCCGCCCTCCTGGACTCTGAGCCCCTCCTGCCTGCATGCCCTCTCCACGCTGGGGACTCGCCCTCGCAGTTTTGTTTCAGGGAGACGGGGGAGAATCTCACGTTTCCGCTGACCAAACTGGATTATAGCTGGCAGCCATCGTTTGGAGGAGAGCAGGAGGAGCATCTGTCCCTGCTCCCGCTGTGCCCGCGGCGAGGACTCGCACCTGACCAGGTTTTCCCCATGTGCAACTTTCCGGGAAAATTTTGTCTGACCTTTGGTCACTTATCTGGGATTTGGAGAGCCGGGCAGCGGCGCTGGAGTCTGACCGGGTTGTTGGCATCTGCGAGATTGGCCGGTCGCCTCTCGCTCCCTCCCTGGGCACATGCCACCCACGTGGGGCTTGCAGGAACCTTGCTGCAAACTCCTCGGGCGCCCTGGGGAGCCTGCGCTCCTTGCCCTGTGTCTGCAAGCCCCGAGGGGCTCCGATAAGAAACCCCAGCCGGGTGCGGCACGTGCTTTGGAAAAAACATACTTACAAGATGGGTTGCGATAGCTCCAAAGGTTTATTTGTCTGCTATGATTTATCAGGTAAGTCACGTGTGTGGCTTTCTGCACCCTTGCCTACACCTCTGCTAGCGCAAGGAATGATTATAGCCAGTCGTCTGCCCCCTTCCCTAAACCTACCGGGGAGCTCGGGGGGCTTTCAGGCTTTCTTGGCTGCTCCAGGGCAGGAAGATGCTTTGCTTTGTCCCACTGAGGAGTCCTGGCCCCAGCAGGGATATACTGCGTGCCGTGGGGAGGGCTCCGGGCTGGGGGTGCAGCTTTCCCTTGTCCCGGAGGCTCAGACATGCTCGTGTTCCTGACAGGAGCCGGGAGCGACCATGCTAACCCAGGGGCTGCTATTTAAATATTAAAGGACTGAAGTATTTCAGTTTGAAGCCAGCAAAGCCCGTCTGGGGGGCCGGTGCCCATCTCCCCCTGCCAATGGCCGGGGTCGTGGTCCAGCGTCGTGCGGGCACAGCTCCTTGCTCCTGCCCCAGGGAGCTGGCAGCGGCAAAGTCGGGCTAAATGGGGGCGGCTGCGGAGCAGGAGCTCCTGCTGCTGCCGCCCCAGGGAGCCCAGGACGGGGCTGGGGAGGAGGCAGGTGAGGGTCCCTGGTGCATCCCCCCAGGAAGGGCTGGCATGCATCAGCAGTGAGCAAAGCTGTCCTCGGTGGTGTCGCGGAGGTCCAGGCCTGCCACGGCCGGGGGGTGGAGGCAGGTGAGGATGTTGTACGTGTAGACGGGGACGTGGGCATCGTCCCCCTCGGCCACGGACTGCACGAAGCGCGGGACCACCACGGGGTGCTGCAGGGAGAAGTCCCGCAGGCCCTTCAGGGAGCAGTTGCAATGCCAGTTGTTGCCCCCCAGCCACAGCTGCTCCAGGGCGAAGGAGGCGCAGAGGAAGCCCACCGAGAAGGTCTCCAGTGAGTTGTTCCTCAGGCTGAGGTACCGCAGGTTGGCCAGGGGGGAGATGACGGTGTTGTCTAGCGTCTCCAGCTGGTTATGGGAGAGGTCAAGCCAGAAGAGTCTCTGGAGCGGGCTGAAGGTGTCCTGGGAGATCTCCAGGAGCTGGTTGGAGGAGAGGAAGAGGTACTCCAGGTTGCTCAGACCCACGAAGAGCCGGGGCGAGAGGTGGCTCAGCCTGTTGTGCTTCAGGTCGAGCTCCAGGAGCTCGTGCAGTTCGCTGAAGCTTTGGTCTTCGATGACGGAGATGGCGTTGTGCTGCAAGAAGAGCCGCCGCAGGCTGGAGAGGCTGGAGAAGGTGTTTGCCTGGATCCTGCCGAGGCAGCTGTGCTCTAGGTGGAGGCTGTGCAACTTGGCGACCCCCTTGAAGACATAGTCGGGGAGGACCTTGCTGCAGTTTGCAGACAAGTGCATCACTGCCATTTGGAATGCCCCAACCCTGATGTCTTGTAGCTGGTTGTTGTTGAGGCTGAGGACCTCCAGCTGGCCCAGCCCGTCGAAGGTCCTTTCCGCCAGGCTCTGGATCCTGTTGTGCCCCAGCTGCAGCTCCTCCAGGAACTGGAGGTCTTTGAAAGTCCTGGGCCTCAGGCCGGCGATGGAGTTGGTGGACAAGCGTAGGACGTGCAGGCTCAGGAGGCCCAGAAATGTGTCCTCAAACAGTGAGACGAGCCGGTTGTGGGAGAGATCCAGCCACCGGAGGGACTTCATGCCCATGAAGGCGCGGGGCGCGATGGCGTTGATCTGGTTGTGGTTCAGGTACAGCTTCTGTAGCTTCTGCAGCTTGACGAAGATGTTGATCTTGATGCCCTTGAGCGCGTTGCCGCTCAGGTCCAGCTCCTTCAGCTCGGTAAGGCTGCAGAAGAGCTGGTGCTGGAGGTAGGGGAGCTTGTTCCCAGCAAGGATCAGCTCCCTCAAGTTGGGCAAGTCATGGAAGACCTTGTCGGGCAGGACCACGAGCGAGTTCCAGCCCAGGTTCAGATACCAGAGGTTGGAGAGCCCAGCGAACAGCCCTTCCTCCACCTTACTGAAGTAGTTGTTGTTGAGGCTGAGGGAGACGAGGTTCTGGGTGTGCAGGAAAGTGTGGGGAGCCAAGTGCTTGAGGCGGTTGCGTTCGAGGTGGAGGTGGTAGAGGCTCCGCAGCCCGTGGAAGGCGTGCTGCTCCACGGCGGCCAGCTGGCTGCTCTGCAGGTCCAGAAAGTCCAGGGCTGAGAGGTTCCTGAAGGCAGCGGCCGGCAGCAGGGTGAAGTTATTGCCATCCAGCCAAAGGGCTTTGGCGTTGGGGGGGACGTCCTCGGGCAGGCGCGTCAGGTTGCGGGCGCTGCAGAAGACGTTGAGCTCCTCGCTGTAGTCGTCCAAGCTGCAGGCGCAAGGGCTGGGGCAGCGTGGGGCGTCCGTGTCCCCCTGGTCCTTCGGGCTGGCCCCCCCGGGGGGCTGGGAGGCGGTGGCCAGCAGCCGGGCCAGGGGGAGCAGGAGGGTGACGCCTGCTGCAGGGCGCGGAGGAAAGGGGACACCGTCAGCGTGGGGCAATGGCTGCCCCGTGGGACCCCCGTGGGACCCCCCGGGGGGTTCTGCACTGCCGGGAGGGGGGTGTTCTGCACTGCCGGGAGGGGTGGGGGTGGTGGAGGGGTCAGTCCCAGCCCATCGCACACACTGGGCAGCCGCAGGAGGTTTCGGAGGCTGGATCTGCCCTTGGGAGAGGGCGTGGGATCGTCCCCCACTCCTGCTGCAGCTCAGAGCCCTCGGGTGCCCAGGCCCCCAGAATTCATCCCTTTATATTGCAGCAGCAGCTTCTCCCTTTTGTGGGGAAAGGTCCCCGGCCCCCTCTCCTCCTTCCTCCCCAGCC